GTGTCTTTTTCAACTCCTATTCCGTTTTCATAACAACGTCCAACATTATATATTCCATCAGCATGTTTCATATCTGCTGATTTTTGATAATATTCAAATGCCTTATTTATGTCTTTTTCAACTCCTATTCCATTTTCATAACAGCGTCCAATAATATATATTCCGTAAACATGTCCTATATCTGCATATTTTTGATAATATTTGAATGCCTTCTTTAAACCTTTTTTGACTCCTATCCCATTTTCATAACAACGTCCAACATTATATATTCCATCAGAATGGTTCATGTCTGCAGATTTTTGATAATATTCGAATGCCTTCTTTACATCTTTTTTGACTCCTATTCCATTTTCATAACAATGTCCAACATTATATATTCCATCAGTATGTTTCATGTCTGCTGCAGATTTTTGATAATATTCGAATGCCTTCTTGACATCTTTTCTGACTCCTATTCCATTTTCATAACAACGTCCAACACTATAAATTCCATCAGTATGTTTCATGTCTGCAGATTGTTGATAATATTTGAATGCCTTCTTTACATCTATTCTGGTTCCTATTTCATTTTCATAACAACGTCCAACATTATATATTCCATCAGCATGTTTCATATCTGCAGATTTTTTATAATATTCAAACGCTTCTTCTCTATCTTTTTCAACTCCTATTCCGTATTGATAGCAACGTACAACATTATGTATTCCATTTATATGTCCCATATCTGCAGATTTTTGATAATATTCGAATGCCTTTTTTATGTCTTTTCCAACTTCCATTCCATTTTCATAACAACGTCCAATATTATATATTCCATCAGCATGTCCTATATCTGCAGATTTTTGATAATATTCGAATGCTTTCTGCGTATCTTTTTCAACTCCTATTCCATTTTCGTAACAACGCCCAATATTATATATTCCATCAGCATGTCCTATATCTGCAGATTTTTGATAGTATTCGTATGCCTTCTTTATATCTTTTTCAGTACCTATTCCATTTTCATAACAACGTCCTATATAATACCTTCCATCAGCATTTCTCATATCCGCAGATTTTTGATAATATTCGAATGCTTTCTGTGTGTCTTTTTCAACTTCCATTCCATTTTCGTAACAACGTCCAATATTACATATTCCATCAGCATGTTTAATATCTGCAGATTTTTGATAATATTCAAATGCCTTCTTTGTGTCTTTTTCAACACATATTCCATTTTCATAACAACGTCCAACATTATTTATTCCATCAGCATGCCCCATAACTGCAGATTTTTGATAATATTTGAATGCCTTCTTTATATCTTTTTCGACTCCTATTCCAATTTCATAACAACGTCCAACATTATATATTCCGTCAGGATGTCTCATATTCTTTGATTTTTGATAGTGTTCGAGTGCTTTTTTTATATCATTTTCAACACCTATTCCATTTTCGTAACAACGTCCAACATTAAATATTCCATCAACATGTCTTATATCAGCGGATTTTTGATAATATTCGAATGCCTTCTTTACATCTTTTTTGACTCCTATTCCATTTTCATAACAACGTCCAACATTATATATTCCATCAGCATGTCCCATATCTGCAGATTTTTGATAATATTCGAATGCCTTCTTTGTATCTTTTTCAGCTTCTATACCATTTTCATAACAACGTCCAACATTATATGTTCCAACAGCATGTCCTAAATCTACAGATTTTTGATAATATTCGAATGCTTTCTGTGTGTCTTTTTCAACTTCCATTCCATTTTCGTAACAACGTCCAATATTACATATTCCATCAGCATGTTTAATATCTGCAGATTTTTGATAATATTCAAATGCCTTCTTCGTGTCTTTTTCAATTCCTATTCCATTTTCATAACAACGTCCAACATTATTTATTCCATCAGCATGTCCCATAACTGCAGATTTCTGATAATATTTGAATGCCTTCTTAACGTTTTTTTCAACACCTATTCCATTTTCATAAAAACGTCCAATATTAAATATTCCGTCAGGATGTCTCATATTCCTAGATTTTTTATAGTATACGAGTGCTTTCTTTATATCTTTTTCAACTCCTATTCCATTTTCGTAACAATGTCCAACATTAAATATTCCATCAGCATGTCTTATATCAGCTGATTTTTGAAAATATTCAAACGCCTCATCTCTATCTTTTTCAACTCCTATTCCGTATTGATAGCAACGCACAACATTATGTATTCCATTTATATGTTCCACATCTGCAGATTTTTGATAATATTCGAATGCTTTCTGCGTGTTTTTTTCAACTCCTATTCCATTTTCATAACAACGTCCAACATTACATATTCCATCAGCATGTCCTAAACCTGCAGATTTTTGATAATATTCGAATGCTTTCTTTACATCTTTTTCAACTCCTAATCCATTTTCATAACGACGTCCAACATTATATATTCCATCCGCAGATTTTAGATAATATTCGAATGCCTTCTTTGTGTCTTTTTCAATTCCTATTCCATTTTCATAACAACGTCCAATATTATATATTCCATCAGTATGTTTCATGTCTGCAGATTTTTGATAATATTTGAATGCCTTCTTTACATCCTTTTCAATTCCTATTCCATTTTCATAACAACGTCCAACATTATATATTCCATTAGCATGTTTCATATCTGCAGATTTTTGATAATATTCGAATGCCTTCTTTGTGTCTTTTTCAATACCTACCCCATTTTCATAACAACGTCCAACATTATTTATTCCATCAGCATGTCCCATAACCGCAGATTTTCGATAATATTTGAATGCCTTCTTTATGTCTTTTTCAACACCTATTCCATTTTCATAACAACGTCCAACAGTATATATTCCATCCGCATGTCTCATATTCTTAGATTTTTGATAGTATTCGAGTGCTTTCTTTATATCTTTTTCAACTCCTATTCCATTTTCATAACAATGTCCAACATTATATATTCCATCAGCATGTCCTATATCTGTAGATTTTTGATAATATTCGAATGCTTTCTGTGTGTCTTTTTCAACTCCTATTCCATTTTCATAACAACGTCCAATTTTATATATTCCATTAGCATGTCTCATATATGCAGATTTTTGATAATATTCGAATGCCATTTTTATGTCTTTTTCAATTCCTATCCCATGTTCATAACAACGTCCAACATTATATATACCATCAACATGTCCTATATCTGCTGATTTTTTATAATATTCAAATGCCTTGATTATATCTTTTTCAACTCCTATTCCATTTTCATAATAACGTCCTTCCAAAATATCATCGCTTAATTTTAACTTCTTACAAATATCATTGCATCTATGATTTGCCAAAAAACATTTTTGAATTCCACTCTTTCCTAAGTTTGTTTTTCCAAATCTTAACAAATCAACACAATGTATAGCTGGATCTGTTAGCAAGAACTCATTACTGAGATCGACGCCTTGTAAGTCATAAACTACCAAATATCCTTCAGTATATTTATATGTGAAATGAGCGAATGCCTCAAGAATGGGATGAAGTTCTGTAATTAAACCATTATTTGTGTTAAATTTTTTAAATTCTACATTATTTATATATTTTTCTACAGAGTAGCAAGTATTATCTGTCTCATCGTATAAGACTTTTGCATCAAGAAATATAACTTTTTTATTAATACCAACTCGCTCTGCGGCGGCATTGAATATTGTTGAAAAAAAATCAGCAACATTAGAGATTTCCACTGATTCTAAATATCTTTCTATTGTGCCTATTTTAATGTCGTGATACTTTTTTATCACTAATTTATTAGCTCGACCAAGACTTGTATCAAGAGCAAAATAAGCATATCGTTCAGCACCGACGGAGAATGGTTGCAGTGCAAGTTTAAAAGATATGTCTTGTTCAATATAACTTGAATTAATAAAATAATATTCATCTTTGACTTCAGCCAGAGATTTGGGTGGAATATAATATAAAATTTTTCCTGTTTTCTCTGGATGAGTGGTCCAGTCAGGTTCGTGTGGATTGATTTGAAGTTTTTTTCGTTGTAAAGAGTATATGCTTTTTGAGTTTCTTAAAGTTGTGGTTAGTGTAATAGAAGAAAAGATGGCTGAAGAAGTAGCCTTACAAAATTTATTGATCAATGCCTCAGGATTAGATCCTGCAGTCATAAGATCAAATATAGCAAATTCTCCAATTATTTCACGAAATACATTAATCATGACATCGGTAGAATTATTAATTTTTCCAAAGTAGTATAAAATCTTTTTTAATTGCATTTTCTTTAACACACTTTCTGCAGTTAGACCATTCGGGTCACCATCTGGATAATCATCGAATAAGTTGGTAAAACGACGACCATGTGGTGGTGCATCGCCGATATGAATAATAATACGAGTGGCATTGCTCCATGTCATCTCAGTTATCGC